AAACTTCTTATCACCTTCTACAATCAGAAGAGTTAGTTAGGAGAAGAACGCCATCTAAAAATAAGATTTAGTTAAAATAGCAAACTATTATAAGAAGGACGTTAAAACCATCTGCTATGTGCACCTTATACCCACACACACCGTAAGTGCCATGAATACATGCATTATCTTCAAAATATACTTGCAAAAACATTTATAGAAAGATATGGCCTAAAAATCAAACTATTATAAGAAGGGCGTTAAGACCATCTGCTATGTGCACCTTATACCCACACACACCGTAAGTGCCATGAATACATGCATTATCTTCAAAATATACTTGCAAAAACATTTATAGAAAGATACAGCCTAAAAATCAAACTATTATAAGAAGGGCGTTAAGACCATCTGCTATGTGCACCTTATACCCACACACATCGTAAGTACCATGAATACATGCATTATCTTCAAAATATACTTGCAAAAACATTTATAGAAAGAGACAGCCTAAAAATCAAACTATTATAAGTATACAATGGATATATGTGTGACTTTCACTAGCAGCAAAGAAAACTGTTCACTCTGGACTTGGTCGGTCCATACCAGAGTTACAAACAACTAAAACTCCAAACTACAAAACCTTAGAGACATCCTAAGCTGATTCTGTTATTACACACGCGAATAGCCTCATTATCTGGCCGATGTGTTACCAAAGAACTGATAGAACCAGAAGACGAAATATCGTGAACTAATAGAGGAACCAGAGTTTTTTTGTTTCTAACTCAGTTTTTAGTCTGTGTGGTCTTTGACTAGTCTTATAGTTATCCAGTTAATATGCTTGTAATATGCGTCTATTAAACTATTGCCAATACATTTAACTATAGTGTCTCTGCGTGAAGCAAATAAAAAATTTGTGAATTCTGATATCTTAGCTGTTCCTCAATCGTGAAATATTCTAATGTCGGGTGTTGAAATACAGAACTTGTGTCTCTAGGCATAACGATATTATAACTAAAGTCCACTTTGTGTCTTGCATGGTTTGTGTCTCCAAGCATAACGATGTTATAACTATAGTCCACTTTATGTCTTCCATGACTTGTGTCTCTAAGCATAACGATGTTATAACTATAGTTCACTTTGTGTCTTGCATGACTTGTGTCTCCAAGCATAACGATATTATAACTATAGTCCACTTTGTGTCTTGCATGACATGTGTCTCCAAGCATAACGATGTTATAACTATAGTTCACTTTGTGTCTTGCATGACTTGTATCTCCAAGCATAACGATATTATAACTATAGTCAACTTTGTGTCTTGCATGACATGTGTCTCCAAGCATAACGATGTTGTAACTATAGTTCACTTTGTGTCTTGCATGACTTGTGTCTCCAAGCATAACGATATTATAACTATAGTCCACTTTGTGTCTTGCATGACATGTGTCTCCAAGCATAACGATGTTATAACTATAGTCCACTTTGTGTCTTGCATGAATCAGACTGATAGTAATTTTGTATTGAGCTCGTATATCTCCTTGCTGAATTAGACTGGCATTTACATATATAACAGACTACCAGGTTTATACGACTTGATCTGGTATTACCATACGATTTTAACTCCTCATCCTGCATGAATAAACTGATAATGGCGCATATGTTTGGTTCCTGTTTCTGCATGAACCGAATGGATGTTCACTAATATATTGGACTACTAAGCCTTCACAATTTAAACTTATATGGACGTATATGTACGCTGAACTCTTAGCGCTATTTGATCAGATTAATTAGCATACTTCACCCGGCTCATACATTTAATACCAACGTGCTATTGAAATGTCTTCTTATCTCTTATACGTACACGTTACTAAAAATTGACACATTGAGTGTATTGTTAATTATATAAAGTTCTGTTTATTGTCAATTCAAAATATCATCTAAATGGTTGAAAGGCTTAATCTCTGATAGTGACTGTAAAGAATGATGGAATATAGTCATGATTGAAGTACTTCGTGAGCCTTCTTGTAAAAATAGATGATCGATTAAAACCGTTGGGTTTACCTAGATATTTTTACACGTAAACTAGTGGGATTCGGTCAATGTGCTTTCAGTCGTACTTTGAAGAAAAGGCGGAATTACATACTACTTCGAAAATGCCCATATTTTGCATCAAGTAAAGAAAATTAGAATAATGGAGCAAATACAGAAAATTGTTTTCCAACATTAAGTAATAGTGAGTGTGATTACCATTAAATCAGCTTGCAGTGCAAAGTATTGCAGTGAAGTTTTCAACAACATATTTAAACCTCTGTTAAATGTTTCCATGAACCGAAACGTGAATGTTGTTTCAAATTGCAACCTATGTCTTTCGCCAACTTTATATAGCATGCGCGCTTGGCTTTAGAAGGTTTTCTGGGAAAGAAATAACATATTTCAAATCAATCTAAACATTAGTTATTCCATTACAAAAAAACCTGTTCAGCAAGTTTGACATCCGCATTGAAATATGGGGAAAACATGATAAACTGAAAGTTGGAGCTTCTTTAAGTCCGACGGGTTTTTTTTATAAAGAAAACGTTCTTTACAAATGCGAAGTCATATACTTAATGACCTCCAAACTGTGGCAATACATAGCCTCAAAGTATAAGATTAAATAAGTCTCTCCCTCTCTTTCACATACAAACTCACTCTAGTTAAAAACGTAACTCAGGTCACAAACACACACTCTCCGATAACACATAATCCAGGTATCACTTCCTCTGTTTCTACTTCAGTAAAATTCGAGTAGAGATAGGTATATGAAAGATAAAAAGAGTAAAGAAGACGTTTAGGTTTTGTTTTTGTTTTTTAGCACAATTAGCTGAAAGTTGATTAGATACTATTTATGTGATACAAAGCTAGAGGTTTTACTCCAATCAATAATTTAGCTTACGAAAAGGAAAATATTTGTTTTAAACAAATATATATATGTACATATTTTATATGTATGCATTGATTTTCTAAATTTGGTTGGCTTTTTATTACTGTCAGCAGCTGATATGTTAAAAGACATTGAATGGTTTAGCGTTTTCAGTTATTTCCAATAACACAAAAGAATGTCCTGTTTTCAATCTAACTGATCATAAAACGAATTCAGAATTATACAAAATTACTTTTGTGGCTTTCTCGACAAATCAACTTCGTGGTAATATATCAAGACTGTTGGAAAATAGAAACTTTTTTTTCTTTTTATAATAAGCGCAGTGAAGATAGGGTGACATGTTAGTTTGAAAATTTTTCATTCGTGTCAGGAGTTACTAAGCTTCGTAATTATGTAATTATCTTAAGTTTGTCTCAAAACCTGTTCAAAATACTGCTAATATTTTCTGTATCAGTACCCACAAGATCATTCTCCCATGAAAGGTTCCGGCTAGACCTACCTGTATGTGATTTTTTTTTGTTGTTGTTTATTTATATTTCATGATTTATTCTTTTCACGTATGATGAAAGTTGGGACCGAACCTTTTTAATAAGTAGGCTATCCACTTTATTAAGCTTACCTCATACCACTCGGTACCAATTAACGAGCGTTAAAATATACCCGTAATTAGAAAGTGATGTCTTAACAACAACGCCGAACATGCTTTTTCTAAACAACAAAAATAAACCATCATGCTCCTCCCCTTCTTCCTTCAGTGCGCGTGACACATGGCGTATGCCACGAGGCAGCCTCACATCATTCTGATCTTAGGCGGGTTTCATAGAAGGGCGTGCTTAGACATTTTGAAAAATCCTTTGGTTTCTATGTTTTCGGTTTTGTTCAGTAAATGAAGTTCATTTGCTTCTTTTTTTTTTTCGCTCTTTTTGATAACAAAACCTTCATTGCCTTTTGTTCCGCACTCATTATTAAACTCAAAACATTCTGGTGAAGAATAATAAAAAAAACTGCTTGTTCTGTTTTGTTGTTTTTACAAAATGAAAATACCGCTTTAAAAGTTGGTTCACTGTTATGAAAGAGAGTAGCAAGAAACATGAAACTCAACATATGACTGTGCGGATTTACGATTGGTAAAAAAAAAAATTAATGTGCTTTCCTTATTTTCCCAAAACTTACAATCGCCTGTGTAGTCACTCACTGAAAATTTGAAACAATGTTTTCTCCATGTTAAACGAGTGTTTCAGATTTTAAAAAATATATATATATATTTCTTGGAGCGGCTCGGTTGTTTCTTATCTACAAAAGGGCGTCAGATTTTAGTAAATTGCTTTCAATTGTATGTAGAAAAAGAGGAAAGGGGGCACAATATTTATATTAGTCCTTGCTTTTTAGTTATATAAGCCATTGGTTTACATAAGTTACTGTTTGATTTTATTCTACCCTGTATTGTTTTTTCATATTAGCCATTGGTTTACATAAGTTACTGTTTGATTTTATTCTACCCTGTATTGTTTCTATATATAAGCCACTGGTTTACATAAGTTACTGTTTGATTTTATTCTACCCTGTATTGTTTCTATATATAAGCCATTGGTTTACATAAGTTACTGTTTGATTTTATTCTATCCTGTATTGTTTCTCCTACAGTTTTTCTAGAGAACTTTCAGATCATTCAATCACTCAAGTGCTTATGATGTCATGACTACAATGTAATAAACAAAATAAAAATTGCTATGTGTTAATAGTAGAAAATGAAAAGTATGGGTAAAATTAATGTTAACTTAGCTAACATGCGCGGTATTCTGTATTTTACATTACTAAACAAGGGACCACACTCGCCAAATTAAAATGTGTTTATTTACGAATTTGAACGTTGAAAAAATGCCAGTAGTAAGAAAACAAATATAAGAACATTGTTTCTTTTGACGAAGTTATAAAGCACTTACAAAGCTATAAGAACAGCACAGTGTCAGTAATGTTTTATTAACATTTTGTAATGTTACAAATTACTCCAATACTTTATGGTTTTGACACAATAAAAGACTCAACTGTCTTTGACGATGGACTTCTCAGTGGTCCTGTAGAGTAGAAAACAAGTAAAATATGCTTTTTACAATTAAATGTCAGCGTCTCGACAATACGATTCGATAAATAGGGACATACTGATGAATAAAAGAAAAAGTATTTGTGTTTCATAATAGACAAATTTAATGACAAACAAATCAGTTCATTGTATCATTGTGTAGGTACTATATATGAATCATAAATTATGCCTCCCAGTGGCATAGCGGTATGTCTGCGGACTTACAACGCTAGAATCCGGGTTTCGATACCCGTGGTGGACAGAGCGCAGATAGCCCATTGTGTAGCTTTGTGATTAAATACACACAAACTGAATTATTATGCCCCCCAGTGGCACAGCGGTATGTCTGCGGACTTACAATGCTAGAATCCGGGTATCGATACCCGCGGTGGGCAGAGCACAGGTAGTCCGTTGTGTAACTTTGTGCTTAATTACAAACAAACTAAAGTATTACGCTCCCTCCCAGTGGCACAGCGGTATGTCTGCGGACTTACAACGTAGAATCCGGGTTTCGATACCCGTGGTGGGCAGAGCACAGATAGCCCAATGCGTAGCTTTGTTGCTTGATTACAATCAAACCAAAAAAAAACTAA